GATCAGCTGGAACATTAACACAGCCTGTACAGTTGTGTAGATCTCCCTCGTGCTGTCAGAACAGCTCAGACCCATCAGGGCGTGGTCACAGGATCTCTGTGTTCAGGTGTCTGACTCTGAGAAATTGCTAGCATGGTCTGTGGATCGAAGGTGGTTCTCGCTAGTGAGTGGAGACCAGCTGAACACCTCCTCATGCTATTGCTGAACTGTCTTTGGGGGCTGTGTCAGAGATCGTCTTTAGCGCACCACGGCAATGACAATCTGTGTTTTACACATTTGGGTTTTAGTATTGTAGCGCATCAGTGCATAAAATGCTGTAAAAATGTGTTTAATCAACTCTGTGATTTACACTTTTACATTTCAGGCAGTGCACATGAACTGCTCCCGCTGCAAAAAGAGCATGATGAAGGGACACACTGCTTACCAGAAGAAGGGCTTCTCAGACGTCTTCTGCTCCAAAAACTGTCTGTTTGAGATGTTTTCTTACAACAAACCGGCCACCAAGACCTGTCACCAATGTCATAAGTGAGTGTTGTTGAAACTGTGCTCTGTTCTCCATGACTAACAGGCACGGACTGTTTTCATTTATTTCTATTAAAAAGACTTTTATCCACTTGAGGGCAGCATAACCAAAGAGTATATACAACAATATGACATTATAATGACATTAAGTTATAAACTGCATGACGTCACTTTGTTAGTTAAGCAGCCACCAGATGATTGCTCAGTTTAGACCCGTGTTTCAGAGCAGCTCCTGATTGAATCATCTACCTGTTAAGCTGCTGAATGAATCACTTTGTCCAGCAGGTGACGATTATTTAATTAATTTCTCCTGTTTGTCACTGAGCAGGTAGGATGCTTATAGGATATGTAAGTGTCTGTGTTAAGTGTTTGTCCTCCCCTCCCCTTCGATCAGGGCGATATCGCAGCCTCTGGACCTCATCATGGCTGCTGTGGACACTAAAGGGACTATGAAGGACTTCTGCAGCCCGGCCTGCTTGAGCTCTTTCAAGTCTGCATCCACCCAAACAGAAAAGTCAGTCTGCAACATATGCAAAAAAGTCTGCAGTGTAAGCACTTTTTTTTCTCTTTTGATACCTGGGTGTTCAGAGTTTTTATTTTTCCCTTTATTATGGTTAAAAAAAAATGTATTTGTTGCCTTTAATTGCATGTACATGCACATCACAGTGTCTCCTTTAAGAGCTGTATGTCTTTATTATCCTGTTCATTGGCATTTTATTAATATTAATAACTAAACAAAAAATAATGTTTTTTATAATCCATAATCTTATGTCCACGGCTCCTTTCTCACTGACTTCAGACCAAATGTGAGCTGACCCTGAACGAGGTCGTCATCAGGTTTTGCAGCCACGCATGCTTAGATGATTTCTGCAAGAACAACATGGGCATCTGTGAGAACTGCAGCTCTGTGTGCCGCAGCAAACCGCTCAC